CACTGTTTGTTAGAAGCAACTCTCACTTATTTCCCACTCTGGCTGATAAAGTAGAACGAAATCGACGTGACAACAATCGACTATGTATTCACCCATCTAAAACAGCACTAATGCATAAAAGCGTGATATGTATGGCTCCCATAATTTATAACAAAATTCCTAAAGAAATTATTAAATTAAATTTAAACTTATTCAAACAAGCGTTGAAAAAACTACTAGTTAATAAATGCTATTATAGTGTTCATGACTTTGTAAATGACAAGTGTTTGTAATTTTTCTTTGTTGATCCTGGTCAGGAGGTTTAATTACTGTTATAATTGGATTTAATACCTACTATATTTCACATTTGTACACCAGAAATGGTCAAACATGTTGATACTATGCTCACTGCTCATCTGTACAACTTATAATGTGCATTCTATGATGTATTATTATTTAACACGTGTTTTTGCAAATAAATAATCTTTGTCTTTGTCTACTGAGATTTTTAAAAACCCAGTAATACTTTGCCCGACCCGGGAATCGAACCCGAGACCCCTTGCCCGGCAGTCGCACTTGCGAGTTGCGACCACTCGGCCAACGAGGCAGTCTTCTAGGTAAGTACCTTATTATCTTAGAAATAATAAGGTACTTACCCAATATCATTTAACCACAGAATCCGTTCAACAGTCTTAATTCAAACTATTGTATTACTTTTAAAGCGATGAGCCAGCTTGTAGAGACAATTCCCTTGGGTGGAAACTTTAAACTTCTCGTGTCATTTTATTAGAGACTTGGGGATTACTAGAGCGAAACGGACGAGACGAAAGCAAGTTTATGGGTTTGAAATCCAGATTGTAGATGGAGAGAGCCGAGAGACACAACATACGAATAAGGTTGGATAAAATGTTGGCCAGGGTATAAAAGAAGGTAGCAAGGTATATGAGGTCATCCGTCTGCTTTTTGCAATCTATTTCTTTAAACAATTAACAATAATGCATATTAACACGAATAAAGACAAACTGTCAAGGACAAAATCTCGAATAATGAAAAATCTAAAATTAATTATTTTGATCACTTTAAGAATGCACGATATTCTTTCTATTCTTGTTTTGATGATGAATAAACCCTAAGTCAAATAATATATAACACTAGTGATTACGGGAATGAAAATTGAGAGACGCAGGAACAATCAATAAAATTAATTATGAGTGTAAAAACACATATATTATCACAATTTGGCCACAATGGCCACAGTGGCCACAGTGGCCACAGCAACTTATTGACAAGAGTATATTCAACGTTAAGAGTGAGTAAGTTAGTAAGTCATCAACGGCCTATAAGTGACCACTGCTGACCAAAGACCTCTTTTCACATGGAGAAGGTTTGAGCATTAATCACTACGCTTGCTCAATGCGGGTTGATGATTTCATTCAAACTTATAATTAGAAATTATATGTCTACGTTGCCTTACGATGTTTTCCTTCACCGTCTGTCGGTGGTCTCTAAATAATCCTAGAAGTACATATAACACGGAAAAAGTCACACTTTTCTGGCCGTTGGTAAGTTTCGAACCCGCACCCTCATCCATGAGAAGTAGGCGTCTTAACTTCCGGGTCACCACGACACATCTAGTAAGTAAGTCTAATAAATGTTATATGAGTAAAGGGTTGGAAACTAACTTTGTCGTTGTGGTTTTCCTTCTAATGTCATATGAACTGTCCAAGTTGAAAACTTGTATCGACCAGCTCCCAACTAATTGTTGGATGGGTACTGAACTTGTTGACCTTATTCATTACTCAACATTATTCTACCCATACCAAGGGGTTTATGTGGGACTGGAACACGTTTGATATTAATATAACATGACTCCTTTTAAACTCTCCTCCTCCTTTAAAGGGTGTAGTAGAAGTATAAATAAGCTTACCTGTGATGAGTTTGAATTATTGCCGAGTGGTTGAGCGACTGCCGGCAAGGGGTCTCGGGTTCGATTCCCGGGCCCAGCAAAGTATTAGATACTGGGTTTTCATTTCATTTAAAAATCTCAGTAGCAGCACGGAGTCTGGAATTGTGCCTGGTATATGGCAATAGGTTCACCCCCTATTACATGGGACTCATAACATAATAGTGCAAAGTGAGAGTTACATCGTACAGTCGTATTAAGTGCCGTAAGGTTCACCTTTACCTACCCATTCGGGAATAAAAGGCGTGATGTTATGTTGTGATCAGTTTGATGTTTTCTTACTGAATAGATACTCTTATACTCTAAGGTAACTAAACACAGAGGTCACACTTGACAGTCCCGTTTAGAATCTAGAAATTACTAAAACCGACGGAAAACCTTTTTACATTCTAATACTTCGTGCCTACTTAAGTTCTGAGAGAATTTTCTAAAAAAAATTAAGGCGGAAAATCATACAATGACTTCTCGCGCTTTGGTTGAGGCGAGAAGGAGCGTCAGACTCTTGCTGACTAAAAACCACCCCGTTCCTACTCTTGCTGTTCAAGCCAGAGTCCCAGCAACCCGCGAAGTCTTCCGCGGCTCCGTATCGGCCACTTGCCCCCATCTGTGTTTATGAACATTTGCGGAGCTTGATTTTTATAATAAAAATCAGAAAATAAAATCGATCTCCAACAATTACTCAAAGCAACGAATTTTATTTCATTAACCCAAATTAATTGAATTCTGTTCGCCCTATTTCCTTTCAGAGCTCACATATAATATATAAAGCGACATTAATCAACGAAAAATCACGTTCATTTTCATTGAACACGACATTTTTTTCTACTACCTCTGTGTGTACCTATTAAACAATACCTTTTGAAGTTTATAATTTTATGAATATCATTTTCTAGAGCTATCATGGTGGTTGGATTAATTTGAAATAGTTTTAGCTCAGAAATATTAAATTACTAGCTGACTGGGCGTAATTTTTTTTCTCACTATTTAAACCTTCTTGGACTTCCGCAAACATTTCAAGAACAAAATTAGATAAATCGGTACAGCCATTCTCGGGTTTGAGCGAAACAAACGAACGGTTATTCATTTTTATCTATATAGATTATCCACATAGAAAAAAACTATTTCAGAACTGGATTATGTAAAAAGAATAAGTGACCATGGTAAGATCAAATCCTAAACCTCTTACATGTAGGTAAATTTTTTAATTAATAGTTTGATTCAGTACAAAGATAGTAGCTATTGTTGTAGGTACTAAATTGTGTGCTTTTAACGTATACAATACATGTATATATTACATTAGCATAAGCATAATACTTTCAAATTCAACAAGAAAATAAACATGTCTATATTCAAATTGAAAAAGTTCTTCGTTCTGTACCTAGGTCAATAATATAGGCCTAAACTAAATCTAGGGCTGGCAGTTGTTCCGAAGTTTATATATAGATGAGTGATAGGGTTCAGAAGTTATCAAGCACTTAGACCAATACACTGAAGTGCGTAGGAAGCACTTCAATGTGCACACGTGTAAAATATCCACATTAATATAGAAACGCTTTGATCATTAATTATGTTGTGTTGTTTTAGATATTCTGTATAATTATAGTACCTGGTGAAACAAGGCTTGTAGTTCCTTTTGATTATCGATTGTAATCTAATATATAAAATTCTCGTGTCAAAGTTTTCGTTGCCATATTCCTCCGAAATGGCTTTTTTACGATTTTGATGAAATTTTTTGTGCTTATCCGGTATCTATGAGAATCGGCCAACATTTATTTGTCATCCCCCTAAATTTTATTTTTAAACAAAATTTTTAAAATCTATTTTTTTATGATACAACATTCTACGAAATTATTTATATGGCAAAACAACGTTTGCCGGGTCAGCTAGTTTTATATACCTAGATGTCTTTATTCTTCAAGAGTCTTTAAATCTAAGGGGATGACGCCAATCTCATCGTGGTCATGAGAATTATTGGACTAGCGAGAAATATTAGGATCCGTCCAAACTACATACGAACTCATAGAAATTGATAGCATCGTCTCAGTATGGTTTGGACAGAATGTACTGAAAAGCACCTATTTCTGTGCATATAGATGTTTTTGTTATTTTATTATGCTAGCTTCGAGAGGTTGCAAAGTGTAACACTGCTGAGCAACGGTTCTCAGGTGTCGTACCATGGCGAGCCAATTAAACTGATGACTCTTTTTTAACCGACTTCAAAAAAAGGAGGAGGTTCTCAATTCGACCGTATATATGCTTTTTTTTATGTTTGTTCGCCGATATCTCCGTTATTTATAAACCGATTTCGATAATTCTTTTTTTGTTGGAAAGAAGATAGTCCCAGAATGGTCCCATGATAATCAGGATCTGATGATGGAAGACCAGGGAAACCGAGGGGATCTTTTAAAAATTATAGGGGCGACTAGTGCATTTGTTATTTTTTTTATTAAGTATTAAAAACCATTACCATCTGACAAAGGTCTGGAGTGGATCTGATGATGGAGCCGAGAGCCAGTCGAGGGAACTCCTCAACGGTTAACAGTAGCTACCTTTTTTTGAGTTTGATTAATTTGTATTGATGAGGACTTTACACCTAGGTGAAGTGTAATTGTCAATTAGGGTCTGATGATGAAGTAGTATGGTAGTTGAGAGAACTCCTCAACAGTTAACAGTAACTACCTTGTGTTTGGGTTTGATTCATTTGTATTGATGAGAACTTTACACCTAAGTGGGGTGTAATTATCAATAAGGGTCTGACAATGAAGCAGTACGATAGTTGAGAGAACTCCTCAACGGTTGCCACTAGCTATGTTGTGTTGGGGTTTGATAATTTGTATTGATGAGGACTTTACACCCAGATGGGATGTGATTGTCATTAAGGGTCTGATGATGAAGTAGTACGACAGTTGAGGGAACTCCTCGGCGGCTACCAGTATAGCTACTGGCAGCCAAACACAAGGTAGCCCTTGTGTTTGGGTTTGATAAAATTTCGCAACGTAATAGGAAACAGCAGTAACATTTCCACAAGGTTGCACGTCAATGTTGCCTTCCTATAGCCCTAACAAATCTGCATTATAATTATTAACCATACCTTCTGCAGCTGTTCGTCTAAGGTTATACGAGTATTTCTCAAGCGACTTGGTACTTGTCTTAGAACAGTCAATCGACTGGCCCTTTCTTCTGGAAGTTCATTAAGTACCCTTAGTGCGGAACTGTTACGTAAGTAACTTAATCGTTGAGATTGTTGTGTAGCAGATTTATTTGATCGTCGCTCTTGAATCAAACTGAGTCGGTGAGCACGGGCTTCTTCGGTCTCGTTTGATAAGCGCTCATGGATCAAACTGAGTCGGTGAGCACGGGCTTCTTCGGTCTCGTTTGATGAGCGCTCATGGATCAAACTGAGCCGGTGAGCACGGGCTTCTTCGGTCTCGTTTGATAAGCGCTCATGGATCAAATTGAGTCGGTGAGCACGGGCTTCTTCGGTCTCGTTTGATGAGCGCTCATGGATCAAACTGAGTCGGTGAGCACGGGCTTCTTCGGTCTCGTTTGATAAGCGCTCATGGATCAAACTGAGTCGGTGAGCACGGGCTTCTTCGGTCTCGTTTGATAAGCGCTCATGGATCAAACTGAGTCGGTGAGCACGGGCTTCTTCGGTCTCGTTTGATAAGCGCTCATGGATCAAACTGAGTCGGTGAGCACGGGCTTCTTCGGTCTCGTTTGATAAGCGCTCATGGATCAAACTGAGTCGGTGAGCACGGGCTTCTTCGGTCTCGTTTGATAAGCGCTCATGGATCAAACTGAGTCGGTGAGCACGGGCTTCTTCGGTCTCGTTTGATAAGCGCTCATGGATCAAACTGAGTCGGTGAGCACGGGCTTCTTCGGTCTCGTTTGATAAGCGCTCATGGATCAAACTGAGTCGGTGAGCACGGGCTTCTTCGGTCTCGTTTGATAAGCGCTCATGGATCAAACTGAGTCGGTGAGCACGGGCTTCTTCGGTCTCGTTTGATAAGCGCTCATGGATCAAACTGAGTCGGTGAGCACGGGCTTCTTCGGTCTCGTTTGATAAGCGCTCATGGATCAAACTGAGTCGGTGAGCACGGGCTTCTTCGGTCTCGTTTGATAAGCGCTCATGGATCAAACTGAGTCGGTGAGCACGGGCTTCTTCGGTCTCGTTTGATAAGCGCTCATGGATCAAACTGAGTCGGTGAGCACGGGCTTCTTCGGTCTCGTTTGATAAGCGCTCATGGATCAAACTGAGTCGGTGAGCACGGGCTTCTTCGGTCTCGTTTGATAAGCGCTCATGGATCAAATTGAGTCGGTGAGCACGGGCTTCTTCGGTCTCGTTTGATAAGCGCTCATGGATCAAACTGAGTCGGTGAGCACGGGCTTCATCGGTTTCGTTTGATAAGCGCTCATGGATCAAACTGAGTCGGTGAGCACGGGCTTCTTCGGTCTCGTTTGATAAGCGCTCATGGATCAAATTGAGTCGGTGAGCACGGGCTTCTTCGGTCTCGTTTGATAAGTGCTCATGGATCAAACTGAGCCGGTGAGCACGGGCTTCTTCGGTCTCGTTTGATAAGCGCTCATGGATCAAATTGAGTCGGTGAGCACGGGCTTCTTCGGTCTCGTTTGATAAGTGCTCATGGATCAAACTGAGCCGGTGAGCACGGGCTTCTTCGGTCTCGTTTGATAAGCGCTCATGGATCAAATTGAGTCGGTGAGCACGGGCTTCTTCGGTCTCGTTTGATAAGTGCTCATGGATCAAACTGAGCCGGTGAGCACGGGCTTCTTCGGTCTCGTTTGATAAGCGCTCATGGATCAAATTGAGTCGGTGAGCACGGGCTTCTTCGGTCTCGTTTGATAAGTGCTCATGGATCAAACTGAGCCGGTGAGCACGGGCTTCTTCGGTCTCGTTTGATAAGCGCTCATGGATCAAATTGAGTCGGTGAGCACGGGCTTCTTCGGTCTCGTTTGATAAGCGCTCATGGATCAAACTGAGTCGGTGAGCACGGGCTTCTTCAGTCTCGTTTGATAAGCGCTCATGGATCAAACTGAGTCGGTGAGCACGGGCTTCATCAGTCTCGTTTGATAAGCGCTCATGGATCAAACTGAGCCGGTGAGCACGGGCTTCTTCGGTTTCGTTCGATAAGCGTTCATGGATCAAACTGAGCCGGTGAGTACGATCTTCTTGACTTTCGTTCATTAGTCTTTTTGATACATAAGCTCTCATAGCCGACAATCTCTTTTTACGTTCCTCTAGTGTTTCATTTTCTCTCTTCTTATTAGCATGTATTTTAATTTTGTCTAATCGTTTCCGTCTATCATCTTTCGTTTCAAGGAATCGACGTTTTCTCATTCGAGAAGCATCCTTGCTTGGTCAACCCATCACTTAAAATTGTGAAATAAAATATCTTTTAACAAAAAAAAAAAAACCGACTTCAAAAGTAAATAAAATATAAAAAAGAAATAAAAAACCAAAAAGCAAAAAATAACTTACTAAATATGCAATTTATAATACTTTTAAATTACTACTTACTATGTAATTAATAAAAAAACTATTATTTTCTTAACTAACTAGTCTAACTACTGCTTGGTTTGAAGTCGGTGCCAAGCCACTGTGCCCACAGTATTATGTACTTTGTATCAGACCAACAAAATAGTAATTATCACTATCTGCCATGCAAAAGGAATATCACATAATATGTAGCATACTACGTTCACTAGATGGCGTTGTCGCGTGACGTCATTTTCTGAATCGCGGTGTTAAGATTCTCCATGATTTGATGAGCTCAAGTTGAAATCGGCTGATATTACGTTATATAACATAACATCACGCTTTTTATCTCCGAAGGGGTAGGCAGAGGTGCACACTCCGACTCCGTGCTACTACTGAGATTTTTAAAAAACCCAGTAATACTTTGCCCGACCCGGGAATCGAACCCGAGACCCCTTGCCCTGCAATCGCACTTGCAACCACTGGGCCAATGAGGCAGTCACGTTATAACGTGACTATTAACTAAATATATTTCGTTATATAATATTACTAGCTAACTCAGCAAACGTCATATCGCCTAGAAATGTGTTTTCACACATTTTAAACCTTACCATGCTTTCCACGAACATTTCACGACAAAATTACTCAAATCGGTTCAGTGGACGAACGAAGATGCATTTTTATTTATATGTATATATCATTGTAACAAGAAACGAGTTTATAACTTGTCCCTGTTTATATGAAGCGAAAACTTTGTAAATACCTTTTAAAGCATATTGCGAGCGCAGGGATTTGTGACTTCGTGGAGTTAAAGTTTATGTGAAGATGAACTGAAGCTAGTATGTATACACGATGTTGCATTTACACTGAAGCTGGTTTTGTTGAAAAGATTTATGATGTAAGAATGTTATGACTGTCATCGAAATATAATTTTCTAACTTTTATACATATATAAGTACTACTTTACATTAATATTACGACTTGACTAGTAATGAATTAATGATGAAATGAAAGGAGTAATGTAATCCGAAACGTCCGTTTTTGGTCATACCCTTTTGGCAGTTTTTTTCTAAATACTGCAAAGGAATTCTAAAACAATGCTACATTTTGGCTTAGTTCAAATTTTCGATCCATTCTCAACTTCTACGTTGAACAAGTACCTACAGCCAATATTCTGCAGATCAGTACCCAAAAGCTAAAATCTAAAGAAAAGCAAACAAAAAGATGTGGATTTTTTATTCTCAAAACGTAACCTTTTTTCATTCTGAACATATTAAAGGTCCAGTTTGGAAATCTTGACGAAGGCCGACTTCGAAAAGGGTCAAGCGTTTCTAAATAGTTGGACATATTGAAAAAGGCAATGCTTACTCAACTTGATAGGCTAATACTCTCCAATGAAATGAAGATCTAGGCTTTTTAAGATAGTTTGGGAACCTAAAATAACTTGGCACTTTAGATAATTTATTTGGAATACAGAGTAAACGGAACACTCCCGAAATGCTGACAAAAATAAATTGGTTTTTCAATTAAAATCGATTTTGTTTTCGTTTTATTCGTAGAACATCAGCGTTGAACATTTGATTACAACTATTTTTACACGTCGTGGTGGCTCGGAGGTTTAAAACGCCGACCTCTCACTTCGAAACCTACAAACAGCAAATACCAATGTGACTTTTTACGAATTATATGTACTTTCCAAGATTATCTAGACACCACTGACAAACGGTGAAGGAAAACATCTTGACGAAACATGGACTTATAAGTAATTTCTAATTATAAGTTTGTAATCGCCAACCCGCATTGAGCAACTGTGGTGATTAATACTCAAACCTTCTTTGCGAGAGAAGAGGCTAGCAAGAGGCTCAGCAATGGGCATTTATAGGCTGATGATGATGATGATTTTTACATTAAAGAAACGTGTAACTTCAGTGATACTTTTATGAAAACAAATCTTGTTTTTTTACAATTTCGAGTGCGTTCAGTTTACACCCTGTGAGTGGTTAGGCCTGCTATTTCTAAAAGCAAACCTGTCATGAAGACGTCTTCATATTATTGATATATAACTGTTAAAATTTACAAGTCATATAATAAAGTAAGTATGTATATCGTTCTTTTGGTGCTTGTACGTGTAAATAATTAATCTTTTAAACGACAAAAAACTAGTAGGTTATAATTGAAACTTAAGTAAACATAGTATTTATTAACTTGATTCACTTTTACGAACTTCGACTGCACCGTTGGTGCGGTGGCTGGGCAACTCACTGCCACGCTTTGTGTAATCCACAGATTGTTCTGGATTTGGGTGTCATGTGTATATGAAGAACTTGTGTATTTGTAAACGCACCTACGATACAGGAGAAAATCCTATAGTGTCTAAAAAAGAAAAGAAACGATGATTAAAATGTACCAACATAATTCTTGGAATACCTACGCCATAATATAGGCACAGACACCACCTAGATTATAAATTAATTAGTAACAATATCTAAAAGCCTAACACTACCAATCAGGCTAATTTCCGAATATAAAGAAGGGTTTTTAAAACGAAACTGTCATTAATTATATTATGTAAATAGACCTACTGCCTACTATTGTTAATGTTCAGCTACTGACAACCTCATATGACAAATGTGGCTAGAAATAGTTTGGCTTTTAGACGACCACTTAACTAACGATTTTGATGACGTCATCTTCATTAGAGGGTTCGAAATGCCATAAAATTCGCTTTCCTGAGAGCTTTACTTAATTATATTTGATACAGTTTTGTATTTTAATATACAATGTGTTGTTTTAAAGCCGCGTAATTTTCTAGGAGGTAACTCGGATATCGATTCTGAGTTCGAATGAATAAATAAAATTGTAGATAAATAATTTTCATTTTTCTGAAATTACGGTAATTCGTAAGTACGAAATTCACGCCGCCGTCTTACAACTAACTTTATAACGCGGCTTACCACACACAAACTCAAACACATAATTGATATTATTCCTAATTCCATAAAACTCCAATAAGAAACATTGCTGTCGCTTATTCTGAAATACTGTCGAACTTAAACGATTTATTATAGCCGTATTTTTAACTATTAGCCCGAATTTTTCTCTTACATTGAACCTTTATGACTTCTGTGACATGCCCCCGAGAAATGACACGGTTTCAAAACTACACCTTGTACCTATAGATACGTCGTTTGTCGAGTTTCCGGGTCAAAAAAGGTCTTTTAATTTTTTTAAGGGATAATTAGCCGATAAACGAGCCTACGGATCACCTGATAGCAAGCAATCGGCGTCGCCCGTGGACACCTGGAACACCATGGGCGTTACAAGCGCGTTGCCTTTTGAGATTAAATTTGAGGATTGGGTTTTCGGTAACCGCACTCTCACGACGAAACACACCGCAAGCGTTGTTTCACAGTGGCGATTTCGCCCGACATATTATAAAGCGACAACGCGCGCCAGACATGTCGACCAAAGTGTGGCAACGTCGCGAAACTCCACCCAACGTCGCTGGCGACACATATCGCAGGGAATTTGTTCCCTAGTGTATCCTGGGCTTTATACTCCACGGACCCTTGTCATATAATTTCTAAGAATAAATTTTAAGCGCTATTCATGTGTGACAGAAGAATATTAGTACTCAGGTTAAGTAATTACCTACCCAGTAATTTACTAAACGATCTTCAAAGGTTAGAAAGTCCCAAAGGTACTTAGTAAAACTATTTCAGAATACTTGTAGTCTAAAAATAGTGTGGTATATATAATCGATTCATTTTAGAAAGAAGAAAGAAAGAAAGAAAGAAAAACAGTTTATTTGCACCATTACAGAAAGGACAAAAAAATAGTAATAAAAAAAAAACAACAGTGTACACGGTGCAAAAAGGCCAGTGCTCAGCTAAAATGCCGTGTCACGAGCGCGATTGCTCGAGTCGCGGCGCTGATTTTCAGCACTAGCCTGTTGCCTAGATATCATATAAATAAATAGATAACTACTAAATATAATATAATAAAAATAAGACGTAATAGAAACATTGTTATCATACATAACACAGATATTTCAAGGATCACTGAATCTATGAATTTGACATCGTGGACTTTGCTTTGACAATCTGACATTGACATAATGTACCCCAAGCGCACGCGACGATGCGGTAACAGAATGGCGTCCTCGCGTTTTACTGACCTTTACAAAAGTATTATCCATTTACGAAAGAGAGTGCAATCACAAAAGTGCTGGGACACCGCAGATCAACCACCACACCGTGCGGCACTATGGGAGAACATGCTGATAACATAGTGAGTATATTAATATAGTTAGTTTTAACAATCTAAACAATCGAGTACTTTGGTTTTTATATAAAATAATAGTAATAAAGTTGTAAAAGTGTGGGTGTAAAAGGAATAAATGTTGTACTTAATGTAATGTTCTAGTATGACAATATTAGAGGCTATCCTATATTGTGTTGTACATTTTTAGTTTGACCATATGAAGCGAAACAACGACACAACAGACATAAGGCAGCGATAATAGGCCGAGCCAAGTCATTATCAAGCACAGGGACTCGGCGGACAGGAGGCAGTAGGTAGCGACTTGCGCTAGCAATGCCAACACTGAATGATTCCACCCGTGACGGCAGGCCATGACCCCAGAGGTAAAACAACAACAATGTTAAAATGCTAGTAAACTACTACTAGTTACTGCAGATATAGTTGCTGCTGCAGTAACACTCTATTAAGATTGTACTTAAATGATTGCATTGTCTTTAGGCCTCTCAGTGGCGGTGGAAGATCATTCCAGCAGCGTGTCGCGGCAAATTTAAAACTGCCCCTGAAAGCCACCGTCCTGTGCTGCGGTATTCTTAACGGGT